AGGCACAAAACATTTCCTCAGCCTTCACTTTCTTGCCGTTTTCAACTTCTCTAAGCGGTACCGATATTTTAAGCAATAGTTCGTCCCACCAAAAGGAACGATTTAACGGTGCACTATTTCTATTTGTGTAGATTTATTTTTCAACTTTTTTGACTCTCCAATGGTGATCTTGAATTTATATTTCCCACATTCATATTTACTATAAACACAATTTGAATAAAGACCTACCACTTTATCTTTATTTATGTGACTATTATAATATTTTTTGGACACAAGTTGTTGATAGTCTTAAAATTTGTCGTGCTAAATCTTCAAGATATTTCAGAAAATTTTCTTTTTCAATTGTTTATATTTGAGTATAACTCCTCTGTTTATGAAAGGGGTTTTGAACTGCATCACGTGAATTGTCAAGAAACAGTCTCTGACCTAAGCACCTTCACATCAACGTTAGGAAAACTTTCTATCCTAATTTTTTTTCGGAAAACTTTATACTCATCCAATACTAAGTCCGTATTCGAAATGTCATCAATATTGTTTTCGTATCGTGTAGAACTTGAAATTGTACCACTGTTTAATGCTACCGTGTTCTCCACATCGGAAACCTCTGAAATAGTGTTTTGCTCAATCGAACCAATAGGGCTTTATTACTAAATTCGATCGATAGACGATCATCCATTTGTTTACATACTTTTTCTATAAAAGGAAACATTTCATTATTATTCGTATTTGTAAACGCATTCCCAGACCCCTAAAATCCTTAGAAGAAGACCCGTTTTCATCTATTGCATGGTATTCGAAATGTTCAACTATTTCCTCCATGGAAATGGACCGATGTTGTCTAATTTCGCAACTGATCTAGCGCTTAAAAAATTATGGGGTTTGCAAAGTTTGCACAGAATTGAATGACCCTTCTTCTTTCTATGAGGTAATTATTTTCTTTGAAAATTTTGATAATTATATTGCGATGTATTAAATTTGGATTAAATTAGATAATCTCTTCGAGAGATATCGTGCGCACCCGCCAGACAGAAAGACAGATGGAGGAACACTCCTAGATCGAATCCAATGGTCCTTAAAGGGATATGGTTCAAATAGACATAGGGTCTAAAACCGTTATTTCGATGAGGTTGCGACATTTTGAAGAAGAATTTTATTTAACAATTATATCCGTTGTCTTAATAAATTCAAGCTCTTAGAGGACCCTTGTGCCATAATTCATAAATTTACCTGTACTAATTTATAATAATTTATAGTTTGTTTTTATACCCTCCACCTTGGAAAGGAGGGTATATTAACTTTGTCATTCCGTTTGCAACATCCTTAAATATTCGTCGTAGACCCCATAAAGTATATATATTCACAATCAGCATAAAATTCTAAGTCGATTTAACGATGTCCGTCTGTCTGTCTATCTGTTGAAATCACGATACAGCCCACATTTTTTGACGCAGAACGTCAAAATTTAGCAGAACTATTTGCATTGTGTCTAGGATTGTTGGTATTGAAAATGAGATATATCGGTCCAAGTTCTGGTATAGTTCCCATATAACGGTACCTCCCGATATTCGGTATTTTGATGATTTATGCCACATTTTTTCACGGATTTGTCTGGAAATTGGTATTTGTAGGTCATAACGGGTCCCTGAACGTGTGGCAAAACATGGCATGTATAGCTCCACGTTGTGGTATAGCCCCCATATAAAGGTACCTCCCGATATTCGGTATTTTAGTTTTTTTGCCACATTTTTCCACGGATTTGTCTAAAAATTGGTATTTGTGGGTTATAATGGTTTCCGAAACATTGTATGTATGGGTCCATGATTTGGTATAGCCCCCATATAACGGTACATCCCGATATTCGGTATTTTGATGGTTTTTGCCACATTTTTTCACTGATTTGTCTAAAAATTGGTATTTGTGGGTCATAATGGGTCCTAGTTCGTGTGGCGAAACATTGTAATTATAAGTCCACGTTTTGGTATAGCCCCCATATAACGGTACCTCCCGATATTCGGTATTTTGATGATTTTTGCCACATTTTTTCACGGATTTGTCTGAAAATTGGTATTTGTTGGTCATAATGGGTTCTAGCTCCGGTGGCGAAACTTTGCATGTATAGGTCCATGTTTTGGTATAGCCCTCATATAACGGTACCTCCCGATATTCGGCATTTTAATGGTTTTTGTCACATTTCTTCTTATGTTTCTTTTACCCTAAGGTGGAGGGTAATAAAAGTTTGGCCCTGCTTTACTACAACGCATTGTATAAATCCTAATCACCCACTGTGAGCATGTAAATTCTGCTCTTTTTCTGCACTTTAAGACAAATTTAGTACCATTTGATACTGTTTCGTACAAGTCCGCCTTCTTATCTAGAAGCTACATGCATGTTATTGTTTACCATTCTAGCTCGTTTCCTACGCTACAAAAGACCCAAATTAGTGCTATTTATACTTTTCGTACATGTTACAGCGGTCATTTCCAAATTCGCTTAAACGCTTCGCATTCTCAGTGATCCTTGAACCAAAATTCAGACTTGCATTTTTATACCCTCCACCATATTATGGAGGGTATATTTACTTTGCCATTCTGTTTTATCTCCTCGAAATACTCGTGTCAAATCCAACAAATTATATATATTCTTGAATAGCGTAAAATTCTAAATCGATTAAGATCTCTCTGTCTGCTGTAATCACGCTATCTTTTAAACGAATTGAGATAGAAGAGACATTATTCAACGGGATTCTTACACATAGTAAACATTTCTGAATCTTATATGAACCCTACTTTTTAATCAGATTGTCATACCACATCCAAATCTCAATCCTTTGTACTTATAGAGAACCTAATGTCATATTTCAAATTTTAAGCACAATCCGTTAACCAAATACCAAATTCAGTTTTTGTACTTTTCATATACTTGTAGTGCGTATTTCCAGATCATCTTTTTTCTTCAAAGCTACCCATCGGTAGTAGCATTCACCCAAAACCACATTGTACAATTTAGTACAGTTCCCTCACTTAGTACGCATTTCCAAAAACCCCAGTTTATATCAACCCCACTTCCTAAATCTGATTTGAGGTACCAAATGTAGTGAATTTAAGCACTTTTGGTACACTATTAATATGAATTTTCCAAATCCCACGCACCCTTTTTACAAGTTTCATATTTCTAGCTCTATCTCTTCCTTAAGTACCAAATTTACTATCATTTCGCACTATTAAGTACATATTTCCCAAATACCAAATTTCCGATTTTCAACTCTACCCTTCCCAATATTTAGTACTTTTCGTGCATTTTAGAAAATATTTCTAAAATTCCCTCAAATCTCAACTCTACACACCATAAGTCAACCCCTCCATCCATTTATCCAAAACCAAATTAAGTACCGTATAGTCATCACTCTAATAATTTCCGAAAATCTGTCGCATCACACACCAACACATCAAGAGTTAGCTCCGGAAAAATGCTAAGATTTTAGACTTATTCATTTCTTCAATACTTTTCTCTTTTCTCCATTAAAAATAGACAACGTCACATACTACAATTGAGACTTTCGTTTAAATAACTTATTGTAACTTTAGGTACGAAATTCCCAAAGATCCTTTTGTACAGTTTTATGTTTATAACCCTCCCTAGCTTTTGCAAAAATTATGTAATATTAATCCCATTTCTGGAAAAGGCTCGATTAAACTCCTACACATCAAGGTGTACATACAGCCGGTGGAATTTCCAATATTTGGATTTGGTACTTTTTGTTATATTTTATACCTTCCACCATAGTATGGAGGGTATTTTAAGTTTGTCAATACGTTTGTAACACCTCAAATATACATATTAGACCCACAAAGTATATATATTCTTGATCAGCATAAATTTTTATGTCCGTCCGTCTGTGGAAATGAAATGAAGTAGGTTGATGAAATCCTGTAGGACTTTTGGTATTGAAAATGGGCCATGTAGGTCCACGTTTTAGTATATCCCCTATATAACGGTACCTCCAGATATTCAGTACCTTGATAATTTTAGCGACATTATTCAGCGGAATGGTTTTCAATTTGGTACTTAAAGTTCGTAATGAATACTACAGCCTTTGATAGAAAATTATCGTGCAGGTCTACGTCTTCGTATAGCCCCCATATGACGATACCTCCCGATATTCGGTATTTTGATGATTTTAGCTACATTTTAAACAGAGTATGACAAAAGTTGCCTATGCAGGTCCATGTCGTCGTATACACCCTGATATAACGGTCACAAGTGCCAAATTCCATCCCATTTGGACAAATATTAGACGCTTGGTGCACAATAAAAGGTAAATCGGACCACGTTATATATGAGTGCTAAATCTGAACCGATCTCTATAAAATTAATCAAAGGTATTTCTGAGCTGCATTTGATATATTTCCCCAAATATTGTTGTTACAGAGTGCATATTACGGCTGCGGAGGACAAAAATAACCAATCGGATGAACAATATATATGGGAGCTATAGCTATATCTGAACTGATTTCGATCAAACTCGGCATACTTATTTTCAGGCCTAATTTGGTTGTATGTGCAAAATTCCATACATTCGGGCTGATATTACACGTTTGGTGCACAATAAAAGGCAAATCGGACGAATATATATATATATATATATATATATATATATATATATATATATATATATATATATATACATTTGGGCCAAACAAATGATTTGAAATTTCATCTCAATCGGATAATAAATGCGACCTGCATTGTGTTTCAGATCGTTGAACTCGTCTCGAAAAAGAAATAAACGAAAAATTATCAACACAATTTTGTAATTTGTCAACAATTCTAATAACAAACCGTTCAGGTAATGTGAATATTAATACATAAGCTTATTTCCATATTATATACTTTGTATTTTAGAAATAATAAAGCGCTTTAAATATAACTTTTATATATATTAATCAAATTTAAAAGTATATTACAAATATAGACTATGAGAGGAGGCTTCAGTCCCAGCAATGAATTCTTGGTATTTGGTTCTGGTCGCATTGAGTTTTTCAAACGCAGCTGCGCTAAAATTACGTTTCACCAATGTAAAATGTGAAGATCTTCGTCCGGATTTTTCTCAATTTAAAAAGTGCCGCCTTGCCGTTGTAAAACGTGATGTTATTTCGCTTAACCTTGAAGTCAAGTTACTCCAAGTACCGGTGGGCAACGTCACGGTAAGCATTGGGAATAATTGTGAAACGAATAGGCAAACGAGTAGCAAATGGAAACTACCAAATTGGATGAAATTAGTTTAGTAACTGTAGTTTGGAGTTTAGAAAAACTGACTAATAATAAAAGCAAAAAGTTTTGAAGGGGAAATGATCGAAATAAACTATATGAGCTAATGGGACAATGTGAGATAATGAAACCACATGTACGAATGGGATGTATAAAGTTCGATCGTCCTTTCGCGTAATAATTTCTTTGAAGAAGTGCGTTTCAGAAGGACATAGCTCTAGAGAGGGTTACAGGTAACCGCATACCCATATACCCATACTATGGAGGGTATATTAACTTTGTCATTCCGTTTGTAACTCCTCGAAATTCTCATGTCAGACCCAACAAAGTACATATCGATTTAGGTCGATTTAGCGATGTCCGTCTACCTGTCTGTCCGTCTGTCTGTTGTAATCACGCTATCTTTCGAACGAATTGAGATAGAAGGCTAACATTTTACACATGTTAATTCTGTCAGTTGGCATGTTAAGTTTGTAAATGGGTCATGTAGGTCCACGTTTTCGTATAGCCCTCATATAAGGGCACTTTCCGATATTCGGTATTTTGATCATTTTAGCTACAGTATTCAGCGGAATTGTTTGAAATTTGGTATTAGACGGTACATCCCGATATTCGGTACTTTGATGATTTTAGCGACATTATTCACCGGAATTGTTTCAAATTTGGCATATCAAGTTCGTAATGGATACTACAGCCTATAACAGCATTTGTCTATATAAGGTCCAGGTCTTCGTCTAGGTCCAATATATCAGTACCTCCCTATATTCGTTATTTTGTCGATTTTTTTTACAATTCTCACATATATTGTTTGAAATTTCGTATTTGAAGTTCCTAATACTACAGCCTGATACAGAAAATTGTCTATGCAGGTCCGTATAGCCTCCTTATAGCCCTGAAAATTTGAGCATTCCAGACCTATTCCATTACAAAATGTCAAATTTGGTACTATTTAGTTTTTCAAACGCAGCTGCGCTAAAGTTACGTTTCACCAATGTAAAATGTGAAGATCTTCGTCCGGATTTTTCTCAATTTAAAAAGTGCCGCCTTGCCGTGATGTGATTTCGCTTAACCTTGAAGTCAAGTTACTACAGGTACCGGTGGACAATGTCACGGTAAGCATTATGAATAATTGTGAAACGAATAGGCAAACGAGTAGCAAATAGAAACTACCAAATTGGATGAAATTAGTTTTGCAACTGTAGTTTGGAGGTTAGAAAAACTGACTAATAATCAAAGCAAAAAGTTTTGAAAGGGAAATGATCGAAAGAAACTATATGAGCTAGTAGGACTATGTGAGATAATGAAACCACATGTATGAATGGGATGTATAAAGTTCGATAGTCCTTTTGCGGAATAATTTCTTTGAAGAAGTGCGTTTCAGAAGGACATAGCTCTAGAGAGGATTACAGGTGACCGCATACCCATATACCAATGCTATGGAGGGTATATTAACTTTATCATTCCGTTTGTAACTCCACGAAATACTCATGTCAGACCCAACAAAGTACATATGGATTTAGGTCGATTTAGCTATGTCCGTCTGTCTGTCTGTTGTAATCACGCTATCTTTCGAACGAATTGAGATAGAAGGCTAAAATTTGACACATGTTAATTCTACCAGTAGGCATGTTAAGTTTGTAAATGGGCCATGTAGGTCCAGGTCTTCGTATAGCCCCCATATAAGGGCACTTCTCGATATTCGGTATTTTGATGATTTTAGATACAGTATTCACCGGAATTGTTTCAAATTTGGTATTTGAAGTTCGTAAGGGATGCTACAGCCTATGACTTCGCATAGCCCCCATCTAACGGTACCTCCCGGTATTCGGTACTTTGATGATTTTAGCGACATTATTCACCGGAATTGTTTCAAAATTTGGAATTTGAAGTTCGTAGTGAATACTACAGCCTAAAACAGAAAATTATCAGTGCAAGTCCACGTCTTCGTATATCCCCCATATAACGGTACCTCCCGATATTCGGTATTTTGATGATTTTAGCGACATTATTCACCGGAATTGTTTCAAAGTTTATATTTGAAGTTTGTAATGGATACTACAGCCTATGACAGAAGTTATCTATGCAGGTCCAGGTCTTCGATAGGTCCAATATATCAGTACCTTCCTCTATTCGTTTTTTTTTCGATTTTGTGTACAATTCCTACAGATATTGTTTGAAATTTCGTATTTGAAGTTCCTAATAGGTACTACAGCCTGATACAGAAAGTTGTTTATGCAGGTCCGTACAGCCACCGTATAGCCCCGATAAAAAGATACCTCCCTATATACGTATATTTTGATCTCTGATTTTTTTTCAAACTTCTATTTAAATATTGCAAGGTCTTATGACAAAAGTTGCCTTTTTCGTATAGATCCCAATATAACGGCTATATTCGGTATTTTTAAGATTTTAACAAAATTTTTAACGGATTTTATTTTTTTTTAAATATTTTAAAATATGTTCCGAATGTTGGAGGGTATTCAAAGTTCTTCTTAGTACTCACTATGTAAACCTAAAGTGACTTTAATATCGTATATCAGAATTTAAGCTCTATATTATTACCTAATACCAAATTTAGTAACATTTAGTATGTATATCGAAAAAAAAGTTAGTACTATTAAGCATTTTTCGTACCATTATAGTACACATTTCCAAAACCATCTCTATATCCAATTCCAGATACCAACAGAGACCTGAATATCAAATTTGGGCATTCCAAATCTATCCCAAATTTAAATTGTACTAAATTTAGTACCGTCTAGTGCTATGAGTACATACTTCCAAAACAACCTCCTTACATCGACTCTACTCCTCAACCTTTTTTCCCATTCCAAACTTCAAGTTTATAGTTCTACCCGTTCACATAAAACAAAATGGTACCAAATGTAGTACATTTTAGTACTTTTCATACACTTAATGTGCGAATTTCCACTCTATAAATTTATCCATATACTCCCTCATTCCAAATTTAAGAGTTCTAGCACTACTACTTCCCAAATACAGAGGGTGGCATATTTAGTACCTTTTAATCCAAAAATCCAGCCTTTTCTGACCCCTTGGAACCAAGAGTGAACCCCAATATAACAGTACCTCCCTATATTCGGTATTTTGATGATTTTAGCGACATGCTTGTTTCACTGGAATTGTTTCACATTTGGTATTTGAAGTTCGTAATGGATACTACAGCCTATGACAGAAGATTGTCTGTGCAGGTCCACGTCTTCGTATAGCCCCCATACAGCGGTACCTCCCGATATTCGGTATTTTGATGTTTTTAGCTATCTTGTTTAAGGATTTTTTTAAGTTTCGCATTTGATTATTGTAATGGCTTATGACAAAAGCTATCTGTGCAGGTCCATGTCGTCGTATAGACCCTAATATAACGGTTGTATTCTTTATTTTTTAAGATTTTAACAGAATTTTTAACGGATTTTATTGTTTTTGAGTATTGCCAAATTCGTTTCAAATGGTGGAGTGTATTCAAAGATCGGCCAGGTCGAACTTTCCGCTTTTTTACTTGTTGATTTTATTTTGTTGCAGCCACATATTTTTGTTTTGTGTTAATTAACAATATCTAGAACCATGCTACTTGTTGGCATTGCTCATTAATGTGTAACATTTTTTGAAGATTGTTTATTAGGAAAATCTGAACATTTTCGTAACTATTGTTAAATTGGCGAAAGGTTTTTAACTCTGATCCCCTTAGAACAGAATTGCAAATTACTTTTCATTTGGTTGAAAACGGATCGAAATCATTTATTTAGAACTATGCAAATCTTTTCCTAATCACTTTTGTTCCCCATTGCAGGTTAACTTATCGTTTTACAAAAAACTCAATGGCTATCGACCATTTCTCTATAATATTACCCATGATTTTTGCTGGTTTATGGAAAATCGTAAACGTATAATGCTTGCGAAAATAATCTTGGACCTCTTTCTCAAGAAATCGAATATCAATCACACGTGTCCCTTTGATGTAAGTTTTTTTTGCCTTTTCCTAATAAGTTTCGACATATCTCCCGATGCACTTTTTTACTTCTAGCACAATATTATTGTGGACAATGTAATTTTGCATGAAAGCCAATTTAAATTGCTACCCTTTCCACGCGGCGATTACATGATGCAAGTCAAAGTGGCTGCCTACAATGACTGGAAGGCGGTTGTTAAAATGTATTTGGGTATATATCAGGATTTGTAAAACGACTGAAAATGAAATAAAATGATTAAATAGAAGTTTATTTGGGGACTAAATAAAAATCACGGATGTTTCATGTAAGGTAAGTAATGATTCTCATCCCAAAAAAATGCTTTTTGCTAATCACTTCATAGCTGTATATCATGTATTTCATAAGTTATGACCTCTGAGTGATAGTTCCCAATATACGATTTTTTCATATTTTGACACTAATTTCATTTTGCCATGTCAACAAGACTTGGCGAAAAGGTTCAGGGACAATAAAATCACATGTTTCGTATATTAAACATTTCCAGACTACTTTTCCGAATTTTCCTTCCTTTTCTATTCCGAATTGTATTTTAGGCCAAAACTAGCTGTTTTACACCCACCATTTAAACATTCACACATAATCACAGGAATTTTGTGACAATTAATGCTGTTCGTGAGCTTCAAAAGATTTTCCTGGCGGAAAATAAATAAAAAATGCCAGGTTAACTCTTTTAAACTTTCTACCCGTGATGAAACAACGACCACGGCATTCCTCTAATGAACGGCATGCCTCCAACATATAAACGCCTCTATTGTCAATAGCACTGATTCACGGGCAATATTTAAAGCAAGCAGCATACCCTGGCTTTTATTTTTGTACCGTCCACCTTGGAAAGGAGGGTATTTTAACTTTTCCATCCCTAAATATTCGTTGTAGACGACATAAAGTATATATATTCATTTCACAATGTCCGTTTGTTGAAATCACGATACAGCCCACATTATTTAACGTAGACCTTCAAAATTTGGCACAACAATTTGTATTGTTTCTAGGAAGGTTGATATGGAAAATGAGATATATCGTTTTGGTATAACCGCCATATAATGGAACCTATCTACAGGGTGAGATAAAAAAACTGCAACAAAGTCAAATGATATAATTTTTACATTTTTTTTTAATTTTATTGAATGAAAGTAAAAAATGTCGGAAATAGCATCAAATTTTAGAATATGTTTAGATTTGTTGGAATTGGTCATCTTTGCACGAATAATGGTCTTCAAACGGCCAATGAAACCGTCACACGCTGCCTGAATATTGCTCTGCGGTATTTTGACCCATTCCCGGCGAAGAGCTTGCTTGAGGTGATTCCAAAATACTCCAGACACAATAGTTCAACGGATTGGTATCCGGAGATTTTGGTAGCCATTATGCCCTGGAAATGAAGCGAGGAACCTCATTTTGTAACCATTCTTGGGTGCCGTGTGCTGAGTGCGATAATGCTGAGTCCTGTTGGAATGTCCAAGGTCTGCGGCCAAAATGTTTGAGTGCCCAAGGCTGTAATACAGCCTCGAGAATATTTTCGCGATAGTATTCGGATAATGGTGTGGAGGTTGAGTTCTGGTGGCTAACCAAAGGTGCATATTTTCAGCTGACCTCTTTGGCAAGTAAACACGATCATTTTGTTTGTTTACAAACTTCTGGACAACGAATAATTTCTCATCGGAGAAAACCAAATTCGGCAGTTCACCACTTTCGGCCAAGCGAAGCAACTCGTTTTGAGTCTATTTTCTTTCGGTTGCGGTGTAAGTTCTTGCACTTTTTGGAATTTCAATAGATTTACCCCGAGCACATTTTTCAATATTTGCGAAATAGAATATTACGATATGTTCAGCTCACGAGCCATTTTTCGGCCACTGCGACGCGGGTTTCGATCAAGTAGCTTCTTTACTTTTCGAACCATTTCTGCTGATGTTGCTGTTTTCTCCCGTCCACTTCCTTGACGTCGGGCTTCGCTTCCACAATCACGGTAACGAGCGACGGTACGAGACACAAAAGATTTATTCACATTTAAATGCTGGAGTGCTCTAACGATAACCACTTGTGGTTTTCCAGCCAAATATAAAGAAATCACATCATCACGCTTGGATTCCATCATGAATAACAATTTTTCTGCAAAACCGTCCGCAAAATGCTTTTGTACGCACGTAAACAATATAATAGCTTTCACTGGAGTAATTTTAACAGCTGTCGGACGAATGGCTTAGAAGTGACAGCAGTCTGAACTTGGTTGTAGTTTTTTCATCACCTGTATATTGATGATTTTCGCCACATTTTTATCACAGATTTGTTAAAAAACTGGTATTTGTAGGTCATAATGGGTTCAAACTCCGGTCTATAAGTCCACGTTGTTGTATAGCACCCATATAAAGGTACCTCTCTATATTCGGCATTTTGATGATTTTTACCACAGTTGTCCACAGATTTGCCTAAAAATCAATTTTTAGTTCCGGTGGCGGAACATATTATATATAGGTTCACGTTTTGATATGGCCCCCATATAACGGTTCCTTCTATGGGTTCTGTGATGGCAGAACATTGAATATTTAGGTCCACGTTTTCCTATAGCGCACATGAAACGGTTCCATCGGATATTCGGTATTTTGACGATTTAAGCCACATTTTCCAAAAAAAGAATTGTGTGAAATTTGATATTTGTACTTTATAATTGGTTCTACAACCGGCGTCAAATCATTCTCCATATTGTTCCTAGTCACATATACACACGGAATTATGTAAAATTTGGTATTTAAGACTAGCAATAAATTAGAATGGTTGTAGTATATAATTGCCTATATAGGCTCCCGTTTTAGTATGGCGCCCATATATCGGCGCCGACAGTTCTCCTACCGATCTTACTGGTATTTGTAGGTTAAAGTGGCCTCTGCCGGGAGAGTTAACAATTAAAACTTATTGGTCCATACCTTTATTTTTTTATGCTACATTTTCAAATTGCCTTCGTCGTCTACTGTAAGAAATTGAGCACAGGGTTTTTGTTTCAAATCTAGTTATGTTCATAAATAATTTACTTAAGAACTACTTTAACCAACCTTTAATTAACCTAAACGCAGACATACAGTAGTTCTTATCTCTTCACACATGGAATAGAAAATATTGCATGGATGCGCGTCCTTTCCTTAAAGTCTTTTACTGAGTATGTCCATTTACGTGTGTGTTGGATCATAAACCTTATTATTGTACTAGTGCAAAAGCCCAATGAATGAGGTTTTCAATCCGTTTTTAACATCCCTAGACCCCATAAAGTATATATATTCGTGAGCAGCATAAAATTGTAAGTCGATTTAACGATGTCTGTATGTCTGCCTGCCCACATTATTTGTATTGTGTCTAGGGTGGTTGGTATTGAAAATGAACATTTTGGTCCACGTTTTCTTATAGCCCACATATACCCAACGATATTCGATATTTTAATAATCCTAGTAACATTTACCCACGAAATTGTTTCAAATTTGGAATTTTAGAAGATTTGGTAGATGACAATACTTGAAGTATAAAATTGTCTATAGACTTTCCCGTTTTGGTTTTTTCCCGTATAGTATGGTGGGTACACTAAGTTCGTCATTCCGTTTGTAACTCATCGAAATAATCATTTTAGACCCAAGTATATATATTCTTGATCAGCGTAAAATTGTAAGACGATTTAGCCCTGTCCGTCCGTCTGTTTTAATCACGCTACAGTCTAAACGAATTAAGATAGGAAGCTAAAATTTTGCACAGATCTCTCTTTTGTCTGCAGGCAGAAGATGTTAGCCACATTTTTCAATGGAATTGTCTCAAATTCCGAACAAGAAGTCCCTTGTGAGTATTTTATCCCCTGAGAGAGAATTGTCTATATAGGTCCACGATATCGTATATCACCCATATAACGTTGTCCTCCGATATTCGGTATTTAGAAGTTTTTACCCACATTTTTTAACAAGATTGTCTGAAAACCCACACAAGGAGTTACGTGCGGGTACTTTATGCCTCGGAAGAGAGTTGTCTATATAGGTCCACGATATCGTATAGCCCCCATATAACGGTACCACGGCACATTTTCCGATGGAAAGGTCTAAAAATCCATAGAAGGAGTTCCTTGGGAGTACTTTATCCGTTTAGAGAGAATTATCTATATAGGACCATGATACCCTTTAGCCCCCATATAACGGTACCCCCCGATATTCAGTATTTTGATGATTTCAGCCACATTTTCCAATGGAATGGTCTGAAAATCCACAGAAGGAGTTACTTTGAAGTACTTTATCCGTTTAAAGAGAATCTATATCTATAAAAGAGGAAAATGTTTGTATGTTTGTTTGTTTGTTTGTTTGTAATTTATGGACTCGAAAACCGCTGAATAGATTTTCCTGAAAATTTCCATATATACTGCAACATCGCCTGAAAGTAACATAGGCTATATACATTTTTGAATTTCCACTTGGAACTGGAGATATAGTATCAGAATCGGAGGTACCTCCCAAAAATTTAGATTTTATATGCACATATATATTGATTGGTTGAAGATACAGTCTCCAAATTTGGAATACGTAACGGAATTTGGAACAAAAATAAGTTTGCCAAATTATATTGTAATCGGTTCAGATTTGGATATAGCTCCCATATATATTTTCGACCGATTTCGTTCATTTGATGCCTTAAACACAATATGAATGTTCGATTCCAATGAAATTTGGAATGTGTGACGGGATTTAATCCGAAAATAAATTTGTCAAATTATATTGAAATCGGTTCAGATTTGGATATAGCTCCCATATATATTTTCGACCGATTTCATGTATTTGATGCACCAAACACGCTCTGTATCTCTAATTTCAATGAAATTTGGAATTGGTAGCGGAAATTAAAACAAATATACATTTGGCAAATTTTATTAAAATCGGTTCAGATTTGGATATAGCTCTCATATATATTTTCGACCGATTTCATGTATTTTATGCACCATACACAATATGTATATTCGATTCCAAAGAAATTTGGAATATGTAACGGGATTTTGATTAGAAAATAAATTAGTCAAATTATATTAAAATCGGTTTAGATTTGGATATAGCTCCCATATGTTTTCCGCCGATTTTACATATTTGATGCACAAAACACGATACGTATTTCCGATTCCAATGAAATTCGGTATGAGTGGCTAAATTTGGTACAAAAATAAATTTGACAAATTATATTCAAATACGCTCAGATATATACTCAGCCGATTTCACATATTTGATCCACCCAAAGCGAGAGAGACAAAATCTGGCACCAGAAAAAATTGCCCAATTATATTGAAATCAGTTGCCCAATTATATTGAAATCATATATATTTCAGCCGATTTCATATATGTTATGCACCAAACATGATATATATGACCGATACCAATGAAATTCAGAATGTGTGGCGGAATTTGGTTACAATAATAAATGTGACAAATTAATTGGAAATTAGTTAAGTTATATTATCGGCCGATTTCACATATTTGACGCACCAATTTCAATGAAATATGAAAGGTGTGGCGGAGTTTGGTGTAAAAGTATTTTTTTTTTTTTTTGAAATAATATTTAAATCGGATCAGCGAAGTATGTTGCTATCTCGAATTCACTAATTTCAATAGAAATGCCACTCAACTTCAAAAGATTGCAGTTTACTGCACGCTTGGTATTTCCTATGAAATAAATAAATCCGAAGGAAAAACCCTTCGTGTATGTATGTCATGTTACTGCTTTTCTAATGGTTTTGGTTATTTACGCATTAAAGTAGTGCAATATTTTTTTTAATTTTTAAATTTGTTTTTTTTTTTAACCAACATATATTCGTAAATAAAATTTTGAATGCATATAAAATCAAAAGGGGTAGCGAAGCGCACCGGGCTCAGCTAGTTATCTATATAGGTCCACTATATCCTATAGTCGGTATTTTTATGATTTCAGCCCCATTTTTCAATGGAATTTTCTGAAAGTCCACACAAGGAGTTCATCGTCGGTACTTTATCCCTTGGAAGAGAATTATCTATATAGGTGTACCATATCGTATAGCCTCCGTATAACGGTACCCCCCGATTTTCGGTATTTTGAGGATTTTAGCCACATTTTCAACGGAATTGTCTGAAATTCCACACAAGGAGGCCCTTGTGAGTACTTTAGCCACTTGAAGAGAATTGTCTATAGGTCCACGATACCGTATATCCCCCATATAACTGTACCCCCGATATTCGATATTTTGATGATTTCAGCCACATTTTACAATGGAATGGTCTGAAAATCTACAGAAGGAGTTCCTTGGGAGAACTTTATCCCTATATAACGGTACCTCCCTAATTTCTGTATTTTGATTGATTTTAGCCACATCTTTCAACGGAATTGTCTGATATTCTGCACAAAAAGTTCTTTGTGAGAACTTTATGCCCTGAAAGGGAATTGTGTATATAGGCCCACAATATCGTATACACCCCTATACAACGGTACATGATATTCTGTATATTGATGATTTTAGCCACATATTCCAATAGTATTGTCTGATAATCCACACAAGGAGTTCTTTGTGAGTACATAAAATTCTATATCGATTTAGCAATGTCCGTCCCTCTGTCCGTCTGTGGAAATCACTCTAGCTTCCGAAGGAAATGAAGTAGGTTGATAAAATTTTACTCAAATGTGTATCTGCAAGATTTTTGGTATTGAAAATGGGCCATGTAGGTCCACATCTTCGTATAGCCCCCATATAACGGTACCCCCCGATATTCGGTATTTTAATGATTTTAGCGACATTATTTACAGGGATTGTTTCAAATTTCGTATGTGAAGTTCGTAATGGATACTTCAGCCCATGCCAGAAAATTGTCTGTGCAGGTCCACGTCTTCGTATAGCCCCCATATAACGGTACCCCCCATATTCGGTATTTTGACGATTTTAGCTACATTATAAACAGATTTTTCTTTAAGTTTCGCATTTAAATATTGTAATAATTTATGACAAAAGTTGCGTATGCAGGCCCACGTCGTCGTATAAGCATTCGGTATTTTTAAGATTTTAACAGAATTTTTAACGGGTTTTATTTTTTGGAAATTGCCAAATTTGTACCAAATGGTGGAGGGTATTGAAAGTTCGGCCCGGCCGAACTTACAGCTTTTTTACTTGTTCAAGTTTCGCATTTGAATATTGTAATGTCTTATGACAAAAGTTGTATATGCAGGTCCTCGTCGTCGTATAGATAAAGGCTAAATTCGGTATTTTTAAGATTTTAAAAGAATTTTTAGTGGATTTTATTTGTTTTTGAAAATTGCCAAACTCGTTCCAAATGGTGGAAGGTATTCAAAGTTGGGCCCGGCGAAACTTACAGCTTTTTTAACTTGTTGTCGTTAAGATTTTCAATTAAAAACTTCGGAAAACTAGCAAAGAATTGAGTAAAACATAAAATTAATAAAATAAAATTTAAAATTCCTTTCTGAACGACTCAGGCCGGTGGAAACACTATAGATATAAATAATATTTTAGTTGCATTTGTAGAAAATTATCAATAGAATTTTGTAATTTGCTAATACTTCTAAACAAATCGTTCGGGTAATTTGAAAATTAATACATTTTTAGATAATTTACTTTGTACTAACAAATAATTGAGCAATTAAAATATAATTTCTATTTTTGTAAAATTCAAAAAAACATTTGTCTATTACTATGCCTCTGAGGTGGATTTAGTTAGAGCAATGATTCTCTTGTATTTGGTTCTCGTCCCATCGACTTTTCCGAACGTTGATGGACTAAAACTACGTTTTACCAATGTAAAGTGTGAAGATCTTAGTCCAGATTTTTGTCGATTTCAAAAATGTCGTCTCGCCGTTATAAAGCGTGATGTGATTGCGCTTAATATTGATGTGAAATTGTTAAAGGTGCCGGTCAATAATGTCACGGTAAGTATTGGGAATCATTGTGAAATGAACGTTACTCTTGGAGGTGTGGAACTTTTCATACATTCTATGGTGAGGATGAGTTCATTATATACAAATCGACTGCTAACAAGGGAATTTTCATAACCGTGACGTAAAAAACCTTTAAAAATGGAACTATTAGGATTCAATATTCGAAAAAATGTCTTCTTTATAGGAATGCCAAAACATTTCCAGAATTATGATAAATAAATAAAAAAATTATATTTAAAAAAAAATATATATATATATTTTGCCGTTGTAACTTCTTTTTTCTTTCAACCTTTTATCTTTTGACAGGTAAATTTGTCATTTTACAAAAAGGCTAGCGGATATCGACCATTTCTATATAATATTACCCATGATTTTTGCTCGTTTATGCAAAATCGTAAACGGATTATGCTGGCGAAAATAGTTTTGGACGTCTTGCTCAAGAAATCGAATATCAATCATACTTGTCCCTATGATGTAAGTTTTGTTTTGGTGCCTTTTGTCCCAAATACATTTTGACATATCTCTTCATTTGTTCTCCTTTGAGTAGCATAATATTATTGTGGACAATGCGATTTTGCATGAAAGTCAATTTCAATTGCTACCCCTACCACGCGGCGACTATATGGTGCAAGTCAAAGTGGCTGCCTACAATGACTGGAAGGCGCTTGTTAGAATATATTTCGGTATATATCAGGATTTGTAGTTGTGGTATTGTTAATTGATTTAATTTACATATATGTAACTTTTAAACAACTTTACTCATTGTTTATTTCACAAAAATGAATATGTCGGTTTTGTTGCAATAAATTCAGAAATATTAACAAATTTTCAATCGTAAAAGTTACAGAGTAGGTCTAATTGTGTTTATAAATTGTTATAAATTAATTTACGAAAGTTCTTGACTTGAATATAAGTTTCAAAAAATGCTGAATCTTTTTTATTAGCTCTTATTTTGAGAGTTATAGGTTCTGAAATTCTTTAATAGTTGGACATCAGTCTAGAAAATGTTGAAAAGTTTTTTTAATTTCATTGGTGATACACAGTGTACATGTTGTATTTCTATTTGTTCGAAATCTGTTGGAATCACTTTTAGCTCTTAGAATCCACATCAAATTGGTAGTGATAAGATCTACATTTGGAGTCGATCTAGCGATGTCCGTCCGTCCGTCCGTCTGGCTGGCTGGTGCGCACGATAACTCTCGAAGGGAGTATCCGATTTAATCCAAACTTGGTACATCGTAATATTATTGCCAAACATAGATCGAGTACGGAGATGGGCAATGTCGGTCCATTCCTTCTGTTACCTCCCCTACAAAAGGTCGAAATTTTCGAAAAATATATTTTTTGCACAGAAAGAGAAAGCATAATTCGATTTTGCTCCAACTTTGCATATCCCAATATTTGCATCAATGGGAGGCCAGGTGCGAAAATGGACAATATCGGTACACTCTATCAAGTACCTCCCCCACAAACAGTCAAAATTTTAAATAATTATAAGTCTTATAAAATGTGATGTAAGAGTCCGATTGTCTTCAAATTGCAGACATCCCAATATTTTTATGAACCAAGTATATGTTGTTAAGATGGAAGATGTCGATCCACTTCTTCTGGTACGTCCCCACAAATTGGTCGAAATTTTCAAAAAATTATATTTTCTGCACAGCAAGAGAAACGATAACCCGATTTTCCCCAACTTTGCAAATCATACTATTTGCGTCAGTGCTAGATCAGATGTGAAAATGGACAATATCGGTCCACTCCATCTAGTACATCCCCCACAAAGGTCAAAATTTGGCATAATTACAACCCTTATAAAAAGATCTGGTGTTAAGATGGAATATATCGGTGCACTCCTTCTTGTACCTCTCCCACAAAAGGTCGAAATTTTCAAAAAATATTTTTTTTCACAGAAAAAAAATTAATAATCCGATTTTGCTCCAACTTTGCAAATCTTAATATTTGCGTCAGTTCTAGGTCAGGTTGAAAAATGGATAATATCGATCCACTCTATCAAGTGCCTCGCACACAAAGGGTAAAAATTTTGAATAATATAATAATTAATAATTCGATTGTTTTAAAATGTCACACAACCCAAAAGGTCGAAATTTTGAATATCCAACCTCTGATTTCATTTAGACTTGGTACATCGCATTATTTCCATCAACACAAAATCTATTATAAAGATGGTAGAAATCGGACGATTTCTTCTGGTACCACCCCAACATAGGGTTGAATATTTTAAAAATTTTACACATACAAACATTTTTATTTACAAAAGATCTGTTGTAAAGATGACATATATATGCGAACCCCTTCTGGTGCCTCACCCACAAAGGGGCACAATTTTCAATATTTTTATCTTTTCAACTTGCAATCTCTAAATATTGCTGTCAACCAGAGACCTGAGATGAATAGGCTTAAAAGTAGGCCTATATGGAAAATTCCCTTCCAAGGGGTAAGTTACTCAGAAGGAACTCCTTATGTGGTTTCTCCGACAATTCCATTGAAAAAATATGGCCAAAATCATAAAAATGCCGAATATGGGGGCTTTACGATATCGTGGACCTATGTAGACACTTCTTTTGTAGGTACTCGGGGAACTCCTTTTGTGGATTTTCAGACAATACCATTGAAAAATATTGTAGCGTTATTTGGGGGACATTTGATGATTTAAGCTACATTATTCACCGATTTTTTTTATTCAAGTTTCGCACTTGAATATTGTAATGATTTATGACAAAAGTTGCCTATGCAGGCCCACGTCGCCGTATAGACCCTAATATAACGGCTACATTCGGTATTTTTAAGATTGTAACAGAATTTTAACGGCGAATCAACATTCCCACCTTGAACGTAGTAATGTGCTGTATATTTATATTTCCAACACTGTCTTACTATGTAATGATTGTATCATTCTCATAATTACCTAAAATTGGTGGATAATGTTAATGGGGATATGTAATATGTATATGTGACTGAATGCATCATCTTGCATAATGCACTGATCTAGTGCACACATATTCGTGTGGAAATTGTAAAAGCATGACGAATACATATTTACATGGCAGCATAATTAATTATTTATCTGGGCCTGAACATGTATTCAATGATGCAAGGACAAGGGCGAAAACATGATTTTAATTTCCACGTCTCAGGTGTTTTAATGATGGATAACTGCTTTATGAAATATAAGCACAGAAACGTAATTGGATAAAAATATAATATATGTACCTGAGAAATGCATGTCTCCATGGTTACATCCATTCAGCAAAAATACAGAAAATGAACTACATGAATATATCTGTTGGTTGTGTAAAATATGAAGTATTTTGAATGATGGTTGGATGGTCAATTTGCGTCATTCTACATTATTTATTTTGAAGGAATCGACAGAGAACGGTTGTGTGTCAACGGCAATGAACAGGAAGAACAGCAGAAATAAATACGTATACAGTCCGCTGGGAAAAAAGAGTATTAAAGAATTTGTAATTTATCCTTTATTTTTTTACACCAATAAGACATAATTTTTATACCCTCCACCATAGTATGGAGGGTATATTAAGTTCGTCATTCCGTTTGTAACACCTCGAAATATATATTTTAGACCCCAGAAAGTTTATATATTCTTGATCAGAATAAAATTCTATGTCGATTTAGTGATGTCCGTTCGTCTGTTCATCTGTGGAAATCATATAATGGTACATCACTATTTTCGGTATTTTGGTGATTTAAGGGACTTTAATCATCGGAAATGTTTCAAATTTGGTATTTGTAGTTCGTAATGAATACTACAGCCCATGACAGAAAATTGTCTGTGCAGGTCCCCGCCTTCGTAAAGCCCCCATGTAACGGTAACTCTCAATATTCGGTATTTTTATGACTTTAGCGACATTATTCACCGGAATTGTTTCAAATTTGGTGTTTGTAGTTCGTAACGGATACTACAGCTTATGACAGAAAATTGTCTGGGCAGGTCCACGTATAGCACCTATATATAAAAACCAAAAAAAGTCGGAAATAGCATCAAAATTTAGAATAAAGGTAAGGTCACATTGAGCAAATATTTGACGAAAAATGTCAAATATTTCTTTGCCACAATCTGACCACCAAATATTATTTGACGGTAAATACAAAAACAGCTGATTTTGGGAAAACAAAATTATTTGCCAGAAAACAAAAATTTGACCAGTGTGTCCATAATGTGAACACCTATGATCAATTATTTTCCTCTTTTTTGGTCAAACATTTATTTGACGGTGCAAATGTTTTGTAAGGTCAAACAAGGAAAAATATCAGTTTAAAACACTGGGCAGCATTTTGCTTTAAGAACAGGAGCATTTGTAACATGATGTTTAATGAATAGAAAAGCAAACGAATACAATAGGTGGTTTTGTTTATTTGATATTTTTGAATTAACTGAATTTGAATGTTTAGTAAAAATTTAATATATGGTCTGTTCCAGAACTGCAAGATGTAAAAGTTTTTACTACTATTACCGAATTTCCCTTTATTATATCGAAGAAAATTGACAAACTAGTAGATTCTTGCAGGTTCAGGAATAGGATATAGGTAGATGCATCAACGAAACATTGATATGTCAAACATTTTGAAATGTTTTGACAAAAATGAGAAGATTTTTCTATGTTTTCTTTTACGTAATGATATGTATTTTTCAACAATTTTTACAAATTTCAATAATATTTCATTCATAATAGTTTTGTCAGTTCATTGTCCCAGCAGCTATGTCGATGCGACTATCAGTATTCTTCTACCGTGATACAAACATACAAAAATTCAAAAAAAAAAAATGTTCTGACAAGAAATTTATTCCACAACAGCTGGTCATTTGCTTCCCTTCTCAAATAAATTATACCCGAAACTCCATTTTCTTTATGTCTCTCTTTCACTCTCTCTGTCTATTTCTCTCGGCCAAATAAATTTATGTTTCCTCACAGTTTGATCAAACAATTTATTGGGAAAATATATTTTACGAATGTGAACATGTGTCAAACATGTTTCCCCATAGCACTATTTGACGCTATTTGGTGACTGTTTGAACAAACAAAATCTGTCAAATATTTGACTGTAATGTGAACATCGAATCAACTCTGTGTGAATTTCACATTTGTTCAGTCAAATATGGGAAAACAAATTTCGATCAAATATTTGCCCAGTGTGACCGTACCTTAAGTTTAGGTTTGTTCGAATTGGTCACCTTTGGCACGAATTATGGCCTACAAACGTCCAATGAAACCGTCATACGCTGCCCGAATGTTGCTCTGCGGTATTTTGGCCCATTCCCGGCGAAGCGCTTGCTTGAGTTGATCGACACTTTGGTAGTTTTTAGTGTCAACCTTGCTTTCCAAAATACTTCAGATACAATAGTCCAACGGATTGGTATCAGGAGATTTTGGTGGCCATTGTGCGCTGGAAATGAAGCGAGGAACCACATTTTGTAACTATTTTTGGGTGGCGCGTGCTGAATGCGATGGTGCTTAGTCCTGTTGGAATGTCCAATGTCTGCGGTCAAAATGTTTGCGTGTCTAAGGCTTTAATACACCCTCCAGAATATTTTCGCGATAATATTTCGAATTTATTCTGATGCCACGATCGATTAATACGATTGGAGAGCGACCATGGGTTGTTATGGCGGTCCACACCATCACACTGGCCTGCGCTTGAGTTCTGGTGGCCAACCGAAGG